GCGTATCAGATTACTGTTTGGATCGTAATAGATCAGGACTTGCATGTGGGCCTGACCCACTCCTTTATTTTTCAGGTGCTTGGCGGTTCCAGAATTAGAGGTTGATTGTGCAGAGCAGATACAGACTTCTATTCTACCGACTACGTAGGACCACTCTCTATGTTTAGCTTTATGTTATTTCCAGTTTGAGACTTTTTATTAGGGGTCCTCTAGAAGGATTCCCAAGTTGTATGGATTGGTGGTTTGGATTATCGGATTTAAAATATTTATAATTCAAGGTTTATTAATTTAGTTTCTTCAAGCTATTTAATTTTATTTCTTATTTCACTTTGTATTCCGTGTTGGATTTAAAATACTTTAATTGTTTGATATCCCTCGGGTTTAGGCTCGAACCTGATCAACCCGCGTCTCGGATCCGAGGGGTATCACACTTAGCCAAATCAAGCTTTACATTTTGTTCCTTCAAATATACGTGCAAGATCTCTTGTATGGACCAACCCTTTTTTTTAAGGGTCTCTTTGGGTCCTTTAGCACCATCTCATTCTTCGCATATTTCTCTACCAAGCTGCTCTCCTCCACCCCAATCTTGTACTCTATGTACTCCAATCCCATGTCCCTAGCTGGCTTCCCGAAATACACCTCGGCCGCCTATTCCAACCTGATGGGAACCACCAGCACAAACACCGACCCCAGGCGGAGAAACAACGAGTGGTTGAGTGCCGCACCTTGCACCCTTATCATTACATGTCTGGAATGTACTAACACATACATTTCGTGCAAAGGAGGCCCATGTTTTGGCTTAAAAACTATGACATCGAAACCCTCCTCGTGTGCCACCTTTTCTGGCTCAGCCTGGTTCAAGATCACTCGTCCAACGCCACCACCGTGGCTAACTAATACGAGCCGTGGACTTGCTTTTGGAGAAATGGAGAATGAAGGATGTTGACCTTGGCCATAGGTTTTTTCCAACAATGCAAGGAAATGTAGCATGGTTCTTGAGTTGGGTATTAATTTTGGGTCCATGGTCATGAAACCATGTGACATAAGGCCCAATATGACCGATGGAAAATAATGGGTCACATTATCATTGTCAATGTTTATGATTGTGTGCTTGCTGAAACTCCGAAGCAAACCTACGTACTTGTGGACCCACCAATCGCCTGATTTGGAGATCACCAAGACAAATTCCTTATTAGGGAAGACCGAATTGATAGTGATGAAGAGGGGTATGAACCCATCATTGAATTCGTGGAAGAAGTTTCCGGTGTACCCTCCAGCACTGAATACTAGGGTGGACACATTGTGTTGGACCTTACATGGCGAGCTTGGTGGGCCTGATGTAAGAGTGATTTCTTTGACGTGGCCCATTGCGGAGTTATCCATTTTTTGAGGGTAAGGACGAACTTTTTCCACAAAATGTGTTTGGGATTTCATGGCCCACAACGTAAAAGGTGGACTTGTTAGGGTCCAACACACTTGTGCCGTTAATGGAGCAGATATCATAGTTACGATGAGATCGGTCGCAGGTTATTGGGCTGACAAAGGATGATTTGACCAGTGGTGCAGCATGTTGCTCTAGAAGACTCATCTGTTTCAATTTCCAAAGTGTGGATCCTGCAACCGCAACAAAAATGAAAGATAAGTCGTCTTACAAATTGGCACAGTGTTTTGAGAACTACAAACAATTTATTTGGTTGATACATGTTCAAAACTATTTTCTAAAACCCAATTACAAAAAAATTCTTTTCAAAAATATCTTTTTTATAATTCTCTTAAAATAATTTTTTGTTTTTGAATTTTTCAGTTTCTAAAAAGCTAAACTAAACAAGCCTTACATTTCTTTCTATTTTAAGTTGTGCCATAAAAATCCAAATTTAAACGAAAAATGATGTTCACACAGTTATTCACTTGCACTATGTCATTTGATATTTTGAAAAAAAATGTAACATAATTATCTTTTAAAATACAATCCCACAATTTTTTTAAAAAGTATACACCCTTGAGACTTTTGATAATAATTCTATCATATGGTGTTTTAAAAAGTTCAATAAAGAAAAGCGAAACGAAAACATCATGTGAAACATTTGGATTTAGCCCACCCATTTAAGTGACATTAACAATTATTATTTACAATACATAAAAAAAATTATTTTAAAATAGCTATTAACTTATTAGAACTAGGCTTTCAAAATATTCAGCATTTTTTTTTTTTTTATATATATATTTAATGGCTCAATTGATTGTACCAATAGAAATTGGAATTTACAATTAATCATGTGTCGTATACATGAGAAATATAATTTTAGTTGGCAAATTTTAGAATTAAAACTTGTTGATCGACGCGTAATTTTATTTTTAATTTGAATCTCGATTGTGGAAGCTGAATAACAAGTGCTCTATGCAATTAGATGTGGACATCTTTTAGGACATGTATATGTGTGAGAACACTAGTTAACACTGAGTTGGGTTCAGAAAAGTTGGGAAAATAAGCATAAAAGTTGTGAAGTTTAGTTTGCTAGAGTTTGTTGAGATTTTTTAATTTAATTTCCCAAAAGTTTAGCCGGTTGGGTCTTACTACTCTTGGTAGTTGGACTTCTAACTCTCCGTAATGATATATTTAGATACTTCCGTCCTTGTTTGGATTCATGTCTCAAATTGTATCTATAATTATATTTCCTTTTTTGAGTTGTATTTTGTATGATATTTTCTTGTTTTGCAATTTTGGCGGAGTTGTCTTGAGCTTTAAAGATTTTCTTGCAAGTTAAGTCTTGGTCTCTAAAAAAAAATTGTGTTTAAGACCATAAATAGAGAATAAGTTGTTTGGAGAATATAGAGAAGAAAAAAAGAAGGGTTTGAGTGGGTGAGGAAAGAAGAAAAGTGGGGGCAAGTGTAAAGAGACGAAGTTAAGGGTGTGTTTGCTCTGATCCCAAAAAGAGCCGGTGAGTTGGTTGATATGGCTAAAATGAGTGAATGAATTAATGAATGGGTGACTAGGGTGAATGGATCGATGTGTAAGTAAGAGTGAATCATTGTTTGAGTGGGGTAGGCATTCTCTATCATTATGCGTTCTTTTCTTGATTCACATTGGAATTTCTTTTCTGTTTGGACGTAGCTTCAGAGGATTGAGTGAACTATGTAATAATATTTTTTTTTTCGGAAATTAACTATGTAATAATATTGTGTTCATTGCATCTCCATGCATGCTTATTGTGGACGTGATTTGCTTTCATTTTGTCGAATGAACAAATATTTAAACAAATATACTATTTAATTTTTTAGACAACCGACATCACACTCAAAATATTACTCAAAATATTACGGAATATAAAATAAAATTATACGAAATGATTAAAGATAATAGTTATATTATGTCGAATGAAGTAAAAAGAAGAAAAACGATACAGTATAAATTTTGACTTGGATATATGCAATAGAGAGGATCAACGGGATCCCTTGCAAGACAAATAATATCTAGGCCAACAATTTGTCTAGAAAAGTAGACCCATGTATCATTTTCCAATAGAAATACTCATAAGGAATTAACATGTTGTGCACTAATTTCTATTTAATTTAGAATCTCAATTAATAAGTTACAGTAAAGTAAGAGAGAATGAACACATGTTAAAATAAGGAATTAAGTAATAAATTGTGCACTAATTTCTATTGAAAATGAGAATCTCAAGATTTTCAATCTCAAGATTTTCAAATAGTAATAAAAATCAAGATAGTGAAACACATGTTAACATAGAAAATAATATAAATTAATTAAGAAACTTGAGAAACACTCAATATCCCATACCTGGATAGGTCCTGCAGATTGAAGAAATTGTACGAAAATTTACCAAAGTTTAAAAAGTGTAATGTTTTGATATAAGGAAAATTCACCATACTTGAATGATATTAACATTGTTCTATCTCCCTCATCTTTTTCGGAAAAAAATTGCTTCATCTCTCTCCTCTTTCTAATTCACACTATTGGGAGAATATTTGGTGCCAAAATGAATGTTCTTTCCCATGATTTATTATATATGTGTATATCACACATTTTTTATTGGCTTCCACCCAAACAAATAAGGGCAATAATCAAGCAATTGCTCTTATATCAACCCTAAAACTTGAAGTGGTTACAAAATTTCAATTAAACCAAGCAAAGAAACATGATCATACATATTTTCATATCAACCCCTACAATGTTTAATGTATATAAATTCACAATCGAAAAGAATAAACATGAATATTTATATTCACACATTTTTTACCGGCTTCCACAAAAAAAAAAAAGGGTAATAATCAAGCAATTGCTCTTATATCAACCCTAAAACCTAAAACCTGAACTGTTTACAAAATTTCAATCAAACCAAACAAAGAAACATGATCGTACATATTTTCGTATCATTCCTAAAATATTATTGAACAATACTTAGGTCCTCACTAATAAGAATTTACAACATATTCACCGCTAATGTGGACTAATAATAAATGGATAGGTCCTGTTTAATTATGATTTGCTAAATGAATATCTACACTATTTTTGATTTAGTAATTAAAGATCACATGTTCATTTATTATTAGTCCAGCAGTGAGTATGTTATAAATATTGCCTAATATTTAATGTATATAAATTGACAATCGAAAAGATTAAAATTGTGAAAAAGAACATTCATTTTTTAACAAAAATAGTAAATAGGTTTAAAATGTCACGCGTGAATCTACAGTGAATTCAACTTAAGATAAATTAGAAATTATTTAATTTAGAGAATCCAATCGGTTGGTACAAGTGTTCCATCCTCTTCCTACTATGTCAACACGTGTCCAACTCATATAATGCCACGTAGCAACCTCGGTTCCTTTTTAAAATCTTACAAACCTCTCTCCATAAAAAGTAAAGAAGTGCTATCCCCGGAATAAGCCATCTGTCCTTTTGTTGACTCCCAACTCCTTCATAAATATCTACTGCATACACAAATATCTCTCACTCACACACACACACACACACACACACGCACACGCACACGCATCTATATAGAGGGAGAGGGGCATTTATTGGAAGGAATATCGAGATGACAAACACTCGGGTCAAAAAAACCAAAAAGACACACGGTATTGGATTTCCGATATGCATCCAGTGCGGCACGAGAAGTAACCCTTGCCGGTGCAAGATATTTGGGCCCACACTTGGGTTCTTGGCGTTTGTGGCCACGGCGGTGGTGGAATGGCCGGTGGGCGCCCTCGTCTACTGCTTCCGCCACTCGAAGGGCCGCCGCATCATGGCTCATCCGGCCACCGTTGTTTACCCAAAAGTGTCCAGGGCCATTCCCATTTGAGCTAGCGTCTCTCTCAATTGGATGTTGTTGCCCAATAAGAGATATTTTAGGGCTTGTTTCTTTGTTTGTTTGTGTTTTTTGTGCTTTTAGTATATGCTGAAACTACTTATGTTCCAAATTTTATTTTTCTGTACTTAATATTTGAATAAATAAAAGAGTAATTTTCAATATGTAACCGTGTTTTTCTCATTTTGGAAATAATATTTATTCCAGATAGTTTTCTTTTCTTTACTTTTTTTCTCTTCCAAAGATCACCCACATAGCTTTTGGGGAGACCACCCGAACAGCCGACCGAATTGTGTTCTTTTTGCTTACACAAATGATGCAATTTTTTTTTATTTTATTAAAATAATGAAGTTGCACAATTATTAGAATGAGTTTACTAAACAAATAAAATTGCCATTTAAACAGACTCTAATAAATATTATATTCTTTGATTCTCTCTATTTTCTTTCACTGCCACTGCCAAATTCAAGATAAATATTACATTCTTTGATTCTCTCTATTTTCTTTCACTGCCACTTCCAAATTCAAGATCTTCAGACTACATAGATATATATAAATAAATAAAATAAAATAAAATAAAAATTTACATTGAAAATTGATGATTTATTTTTTTATAAAAAAGAACAGGATAATAGCATCTTTCACGACTATGGCTTCCGTTATTTTCTGTATGAATAAGAAGACCATATGGATCTCTATGGTGCTTCACACAAACATCATTATACAGGACAAATTAAGTTCATTTTCCATTTATTTTCTTATTTTTTTTTCTATTTATTAACCTATTGCAATAATAATAGTCAAAAGCCTCATGGTTAGCAAATTGAACTCTTCAACTACAATTTTATTTTTTTATAAAAAAGAACAGGATAATAGCATCTTTCACGACTATGGCTTCCGTTATTTTCTGTATGAATAAGAAGACCATATGGATCTCTATGGTGCTTCACACAAACATCATTATACAGGACAAATTAAGTTCATTTTCCATTTATTTTCTTATTTTTTTTTCTATTTATTAACCTATTGCAATAATAATAGTCAAAAGCCTCATGGTTATGAAGATGCAAGAAACTCCTTCTATTCTTTCTCTCTCTAGAATTCTTACACCTCAACCCGAATCAAGATCCCCCTCCTCTTCATTCCAACTCCTATTTATAGATATTTACAAGATATTTACAAGATATTTACTAATTGCTGGACCTGGGCCTATTCCTCAGTAAGCCCTGGTCACTCTTGATGGGCTTACTCCCGCTCGGCCCATATGGCAGTGTCTTTTTATGGGCTGACCCAGCTGTTCGGACTGAAGGTTGTGTTTTGCGAGTCGGACCTGGCCCATGTCATCCAGGGCCTCCTCAACTGCCCCCATAATTGCCCCTTATTTAATAAGGGGTAATTATTGATGGCGTCTCATCATGACGCTGACGGCTCGAGATAACCACGTGGGGGAGCGAACGGTCAGATCCAGAATCAATGTTCCGGGGTTCGAGGGATTTCTTGCCTTCCCGACGCTTCGGCCCTCGGGCCCCCTTGCCTATATAATGCTCTCGAATTCCACTTCACTTCCCTTTACCGTCTCCATCATCAGCCAAATCTCCCTCTTTCTAGAACTGTGCTAAGCCTTTTCCGGTGAAATCCTTCGAGAGTCATTCTCCCAGCGATCTTGCAGTCCTCCGAGGTTAGTTTCGTTCTTTTTACTTTCGGCAGGCTTCCATTTTCCCTCTTTTAGATTCTTCTTGCACTTCCACCATGGTTGTAGATCTGGGTGTCCTTCGTATGAGACTTAGGCTTCCTGACAACATCGTAGTTAGGGTTTGCCCCCAAGACGTTAATATTACGACCGGCGCCGGCCTCCTGCCCGGCGAAGTCTTATTCACAAACCTTCAACTGAATGTTGTTAGGTTCCCTCTGCACCCTTTCTTTAGTTACGTCTTCAACAGATTGGGGATATCCCCTCTGCAGGTCAACCCCAACTTCTTTAGGATCATATCTGTTATGCTCTTATTGATGCGTGACAGAAATCTGGACCTTGACCTCATAGACCTCCTTCTGTGCTATAAGGTCAGTAAGATCCGTACTAACGAGCCCTTCTACCACCTCTACCCGTTCGAGAAGATGTCCATATGCACTGACACAATAAAATCTGAAAAGGGTTGGAGGGATAGCATAGTGGGTATTAGTGGGGCTTGGTCTTCACCGGCTGCAGAGGATTACCCTATCCCGAGCGCCTTTGGTGTCTGCTCTGTCTCCTCCTATAAAAAATTCAAATCCCATAAACACGACTGCCCCTATGAAACATGCGTTCCTCGTTTTTGCACTTACTTATGCCGCTCCTTGGGAATACCTTGTGATGACTTGAGCTACAGTGTTTGCAGGGATAGGATTAACTACTTGAAGAGATACGTTCTGAACGATATTCCTTCCTGCTCAGATCTCCTCACTTCAGACAACCTCTTTGCGCTCTCATCACTCGGCTACAATATGAGCAGACTGCAGATTCCCTCTTTTGGCAGGAGGAAAAATACTCCCCCAGTCATTCCTGCTGCTGGGGCGACCTCCTCTCCAGCGTCGGCTTCTTCTTCAGCCACCATATCTGACACTGTCCCGAGCGCAGTGGCTACTAACCCTGCTGCCAGCGCCCCTGCGGCCAACCAGAACGCACCCTCCCCAGCTACCATAGCTCCTGCTGCTGCGGGGGGCGGTCGGGACAAAGAGCGAGGCAAAAGGCCTCATCCTGACAGTGAAATCGACCCTGAGGAGGAGCCTCTTATTAGAAGGACCCGAGTCTCTGGGCCGGGTACTCTCTTGCACCGAGCGATCAGAGCTCCTTCTCAATCTGGGCCTCCTGCAGCTGGTGGCTCTGCTTCTGCTTCAGGCCCCCTTTCTATCCCCAGCTTGCCGCCATGGGCCCCTCGGTACACTCGAACGGATGGGACGTTCGTGAAACCGAACGAGACCATGCTGAAGGATGGCCAGACCGCTATGGCCTACTACAGGAGCATGTGGACTCCGAAGGACATTGAGGCGGCAAAGGGCCTTTCCCAGAAGGACGTGTTCAGTCGCTTTCCCCAATCTGCTATGGAGGTGACTTTTATTTTCTAACTCATGAATTCTCTTATATTACTTGGTCTTGCCTTCTCCCGTTCTGACTATTGGTTTAACCGTTCTTATTGTGCACCTATGCAGACATTGTTTGGGATGATGGCCATGCAGAAGCAGGTGGAAATGGGGAACGCCAGGGCCCGAAAGTATTCTGACAGCCTGGAGGTGGCTAATAAAGAGAACGACCTCCTTGCCATGAAGAATACCGAGGTGCTGGTTCGGCTTGACAAAGCCGAGCAAGAGAGAGATGTCCTGAAAAAGGAGAATGATTCCCTTCAGGATGAGAAGGACGCCCTCCAGCTCGAGAAGAGCGTCTGGCAGACTGAGCAGGAATCACTCAGAGAAGAGAAGGCAGAACTCCAACGTCTTCTAGCTGATGAACAGTCTGCTCGGATGGCTTTTGAAAAAAGAGCTCTGGACGAGCGTACCGCTCTGATCGACGTTATCAGCAGAGTGGGTGGTGGGATGCTGGCCCTTCATGCTCGGTTCTCCAGGGTCGGTGCTCTTCGGTATGCTCAAGGATTCCGGGAAGGCTTCGCCGACCGGGTTCCGGATGAGGGACAGACCAGCTCCACTCCGGATGAGGTAGACAAGGATCTGGGGATCGAGCCTCTGGGGGTCTATGTCGACCCAGAACCCACCGAAGCGGAGCGTATATTTGATGAGTGCCAGGACATCGCATCCTCAAGGATCATCACAGCTCCTCCTACCGCTCTGCCACTGACCGCTCCCCAATCGTCAACCGTGGCTCCCTCTGTAGCCACTGCTGACGCTGAACCCCAGCCGAACGACTCAGTTATTCACCTGGATTCCCCACCTCATGAAGGTGAGGCGGCTGATGGGGCCGAGGAGGCGAGTCGGCAGGACCAGGATGCTGTTGGTACTGAGGCGTCTAGCTAGGGCTCCTTCGAATTCTTCCAGTTCATATCTTCTTGTAATGATGGACACCTCTCTTTTGTAAACTAAATGTTCAATATTAATGAAATGGCCGAACTCTTTTTCTCTATGTGTTGTGCTCTGTTCAACTTATCTTCAGTACATATATATCTTTTCTCTCTTTTTCTTTTTATATTAGTTTTGCTGTGTGTTTGTACGGCAAGTGCCTGGCGCTCGGCTAGAATGCCACTTGCCACTTGGCTTTAAATTTTTAGCAAGTGTCTGGCGTTCGGCTTATAGTGCCACTTATCTTGCTTAAGTGCCTGGCGCTCGGCTAGAATGCCACTTGCCACTTGGCTTTCAATTTTTAGCAAGTGTCTGGCGTTCGGCTTATAGTGCCAGCTGCCACTTATCTTGCTTAAGTGCCTGGCGCTCGGCTAGAATGCCACTTGCCACTTGGCTTTCAATTTTTAGCAAGTGTCTGGCGTTCGGCTTATAGTGCCAGCTGCCACTTATCTTGCTTAAGTGCCTGGCGCTCGGCTAGAATGCCACTTGCCACTTGGCTTTCAATTTTTAGCAAGTGTCTGGCGTTCGGCTTATAGTGCCAGCTGCCACTTATCTTGCTTAAGTGCCTGGCGCTCGGCTAGAATGCCACTTGCCACTTGGCTTTCAATTTTTAGCAAGTGTCTGGCGTTCGGCTTATAGTGCCAGCTGCCACTTATCTTGCTTAAGTGCCTGGCGCTCGGCTAGAATGCCACTTGCCACTTGGCTTTCAATTTTTATAGTAGACCATTGGAAAAGAAAATTCTTCTCTTCTTTTTTTGTAAATTCCGGTAACTTGCTCATTCATATGTATTTGATTAACAACAAATAACATCCAATTAAAACCAGAACTTAGCTTCTATTGATAGTACCTCTTCAGAGACGTGGCGTTCCAGGGCTTGTTGACCAACTTTCCCGCCATGGTTTCCAACGTATATGCCCCTTTGCCAATGACTTCTGCAATTCTGTATGGGCCTTCCCAGGGTGGCATCATTTTTTTGACCATCCCCACCTTTCTTTTCAGAACCAGATCGCCCGGGGCAAAATCCCTGTGTTTTACTCTCTTATTGTGACTATTCGCCAGCACTTGCTGATACGATGCTAGCCTTATAGCCGCTGCGTCCCTCCTTTCGTCTATCATGTCGAGGTTCAATCTTAACATCTTGTCGTTCTGATCTCGACTCCATGCTAAGCTTCTGATAGTGGGGACTAAATGCTCAACCGGTATAACTGCTTCGGTACCATACGCCATTGCGAACGGGCTCTCCCCAGTCGGCCGCCTTGGGGTGGTTCTGTAAGCCCATAGAACGTTCGGGAGTTCATCCAACCACTTCCCCTTATGATCTTCCAGCTTCTTCTTAATGCAGGCGAAAATGGTTCTGTTTGTGATTTCTGCTTGTCCGTTAGCCTGAGGATGACTTACTGCAGCCAACTTCTGGTTGATTCCATACTCCTCCAGCAGCTTTCTTACTTGCCTGCTGTCGAGGTTTGTGCCATTGTCCATGACTATTGTTCTGGGAACACCGAAGCGGCAGATAATGTTGTTCCAGATAAATCGTCTCACCTGAGTCTGAGTCACGCTAGGATACGGTTCTGCCTCCACCCATTTAGTGAAATAATCCGTGGCCAGTAACACATACTTGTTCTGAGCTCTTGCAGTTGGCAGAGGACCGACCACATCCATCCCCCATTGCGCGAAAGGCCACGGCGAGGCCATTACGTGCAATTCTTCAGGTGGTTGGTGGATCATTGGTCCATATCGTTGGCACTTATCGCACCTTCGAGAGAACTCCTCCGCATCTCTTGACATGTTTGGCCAAAAATACCCTTGTGTCATTGCTTTATGCGCTAACGATCTTCCCCCAGAATGATTGCCACACACACCCTCATGAATAGCTCGCAATACCTGCTGCGATTCCGCGGGGGTGACACATTTCAAGTACGGGCCAGAATAGGACCTTCTGTACAGCTGGTTCCGCACGATGGCGTACTTGGCAGCATTCTTTTTGAGTTTCCTAGCTTCATCCCTTTGCATAGGCAAAACGCCATCTCGAATATAGGTAATGATTGGGTCAATCCAACTCGGTTCATACGGTATGACGTTGACTTGCCAAGGGTCCGAGACCATCGGTTCTTCGAAAATGGACGGCTGGGTCACTATTCCCACTGGAATCACCCTCGCCAATGTTTCACCACAACTTGAAGCACTGCATGCTAAACGGTCTGCATCTGCATTCTGTTCCCTCGGCAACTGTATGAATTCAATCTTTGCAAAGTCCTTGGCTCTACGCAGAACGGCAGAACGGTATGCCCCCATCATGTCATCCTTGGTTGCGTACTCACCATTTACCTGCCGAACAATCAGCTGCGAGTCACTATACACTGTCAAACTTTTGATCTGTAGCTCTTTGGCCAACTTTAATCCATTTAGCAACGCCTCGTATTCCGCTTCATTATTGGTGGCTCGGAACTCAAGTCTGAGTGCTTGGCTCAAGGAAGTACCTTCTGGGGTTTGCAGTTTGATCCCAATCCCAGCCCCCGTCGGGTTAGAGGAGCCATCCACAAAAAGTTTCCAAGAGCCGCTTCTAAGGTCCTCTTCCGTATCTTCGGCATCACATTCTAGTAGGAAATCGGCCACCGCTTGCCCTTTAATAGCTGTTCTCGGCTCGTACGTTATGTCAAATGAACTCAACTCTATGGCCCACTTTGTCATTCTGCCCGAGAGCTCTGGCTTGTGCATGAGCGTTCTGATTGGGAAAGTTGTTAGAACAGCTATGGGGTGGGATTCAAAATAATGCCTTAACTTTCTTTTTGCATTTACAAGTGCAAGTACCACCCGTTCGGCCTTTGAGTATCTTTTTTCTGCCTCCATCAGTGTCTTGCTTACATAAAATACTGGGTATTGCACCCCTTCCTTGCAACGAATCAGAACGGCACTCGTCGCGACACCAGATACTCCAAGATATAGAAATAACTTTTCTTCCGGTTCTGGGGCTGACAGGACTGGCGGATTCTGCATATATTGCTTCAAATGAGTCAATGCCTGTCGTTGCTCATCCCCCCAGACCTGCCTTCCATGGCTCCGAATCGTGTCAAAGAATGGTTTGCAGTGGTCTGACAACTTTGAAATAAATCGACTTAATGCAGCTATTCGTCCTGTTAGGGCTTGCACCTCTCTGATCGTCTTTGGCTCGGCATTCTTAATCAAAGCCTCTGCTTGAGCGGGGCTAACTTCGATGCCCCTGCGGTTGACCACGTGTCCCAGAAACTGCCCGGAACTCACACCGAACGAGCACTTGGTCGGATTGAGCCTCATCCCATATCGCTTTAGTACATCAAATACATCTTGCAGATGCTTCAGATGATCATCCTTTTTCCTACTTTTCACCACCATGTCATCAATATAGGCTTCGACAATCTTACCCATTTGATTCTTAAAAACTTTGCTGACAAGTCGTTGATAAGTTGCTCCCGCATTCTTTAATCCAAAAGGCATAACCTTGTAGCAGTACGTTCCTCGCTCGGTGACAAAAGAAGTTTTTTCTTCATCTGCGGGGTCCATAGGAATCTGATTATAACCTGAATATGCGTCCAGAAAGGTTAAACGCTCATACCCCGTGGTGGCATCCACCATTTGATCAATCTTAGGCAACGGGAAACTGTCCTTCGGGCAGGCTTTGTTTAAATTGGTGAAATCAATGCATACGCGCCATTTCCCATTTTTCTTCTGCACCACAACGACGTTGGACAACCACTCAGGGTAGTGCACCTCTCTGATAAATCCCGCATCAAGCAGCCTATCAACTTCTTCCGTTATGATCTGATTACGTTCTGGAGCAAATCTTCGCTGCTTCTGTTTCACTGGTTTGAAATTAGGATTGACATTCAGGGAATGACAGGAGACGGAAGGACTAATTCCAGGCATGTCGAGATGACTCCATGCAAATACGTCGACATTGTGGGATAAGAAATCCACTAGCTCTTGCTGCTCTTCTCTGGTCAGTCTTATACCCACTCTGGTAGTTCGTTCTGGCCTGGACTGATCGATCTGCACATCCAGAAGGGGCTCCTCGGTCAAGTCGGCTGACTCCTCCACCCTATTCTGCTCGAGTGGAGGTTCCTGTAATTGCTATCTGGGGCTTGTCGACCGGACGGGCGCCTTTCCCTTCCCTGCATGCTTTAGTGTGACGGAATAACACTCTTTGGCTGCGACCTGATCCCCCCGAATGTCTATCACTTTATCTCCATCGGGCCCGAGGCACCTCATGACCTGATGCAGAGTTGAGGGTACACCTCGGACTCTGTGAATCCATCCTCTTCCCATCAGGAGATTATACGAGGGTTGAATTTCCACAACCACAAAAGTTTCCATAAGAGCTCGCTCTGCAGCTTGAACTTCTACTTCCACCATCCCGACGGGTTCCACCCTCTTCCCATCGAACCCTAATAAGGGATTTCCGGTGGGCTTGAGCCTCTCTGGTTTAATGTCGAGCCTGTCAAATGTGTCCCTTGGCATAACATTCGCACTGCTCCCAGGATCGATCAGAACTCTGCGCACCAAGCACTCTGCCACTGTCAAACTGACTACCAACGGGTCGTCATGAGGCAGTTGGACACGCTGCAGGTCTGTCCAGTCGAACTTTATCTGCATTGACGGGCTCTGTTGGTGTAGAGTGGTCACATTGCCGACCCTTTTCTTCATCTGTGCCTGCCGCAGGCGCACCCGTAGCAGCTCGTCTGGCTCTTCACTAGGCTCGGGTCGACCATGGATAGCATTGATTATACGAACTGGTTGCGAATTGTGGGAGCTTTGTTTATGACTCCTTTTTATTTGTTCCACTGGTCGATTCTGCTCCATCGCCGAGCCTTGAACATAACTCGCAAACTCCCCTCTAGCTATCAACATCTCCACTTGCCTCCTCAGGTTCCTGCATTCGTTAGTCTGATGTCCGAAATCAGAATGAAAAGCACAATGTTTAGTTTGATCCCTCTGTTCGAGGGGTTGTCTAATTGGCAGTGGTGGATGAAACTTGTCCTTGTTCTCCTGATATAACCTCGCCAGAGTGACCTTCAGCGGAGTAATCAACTCTTCCTCCCTGGACCTTTTTTCGGCCTTCCAAGTGGTCTGACGTTGCGGCTGAGCCTGCTTCTGCCTGATCTTTGCCTTGGACTTTTCCTCGGTCGACACAAGCGACGTTGTCCGAGCATTAGCTGCCTCCTCTTCTTCGAGGCGCACAAAGCCATCGGCTCTCTCATTGAGTTCGTCCATGGTAGCTGGCGTATTCACTACCAGACTGG